GTCGTAATGCACTACACTGTTGTATGGTGCGTGAAAGACGCATGCGCACTCTCATGTAAACAAGCACGGATGAGAAGCGCATGGCGGAACAGTGAAGGAGACACGCTGAATGAAAGCGCACATTCACTCTCTGACAGCAGATGGCGCTAAACTGCAGAAATGCAGCAGTTACCCCGGTAACCCCGGAAATAAAGCAGCTGCACTACTTTCTAAAAACGTATTTAAAGGGGTCCTATTATACTCTTTTACTATTATGCACTTTTACAATTTACAATCTTGAATTTGTTTTGGGGGTGTACTAGAACATGTTCTCATGCTTGGTGGTTTGAAAAATGCATTATTTTTTACATAATTTACATTATTACAATACCTTTCTCCCCATCCTGGCACAAACGGCTCGATTAGTTCCAGGTTTGATGAAGGCCCGCCTTCCGAAAACGAAATGTGATGTGATTGGTTAGCTGTCCCAGTGCGTTGTGATTGGCGAACAGCTTAGATGGTGTTTCAGTACTGCCCCGCCCCTTGCCAAAGCAGCAAGTTCCATCTGCTCCGGTTCAGTTAAGGATGCCATATCAATTTGAGCCGGATTCAGACCCCGAGAATATTGAACAAGAGGATCGCGCACAACCTTTGCACGCACAGATATGGCAAGACATATTAGAGCTGTAACGTTATTGTTGTAGTTTTTTTTTTGGCTAAATCACGTTTTAGATAGGATGTCAACAACCGCTTAAAAATAACTGCATTTACTATGTACAGATAAGTGCACATTAGAGGTCTACACGGAGGACCCGAGGACCCGGGATCCGTACGGGTTCGGGGCTACATTTTAAATGGTCAGCCGGGTCCGGGTCGGGTCCCAATCTATTACTTCGGGTCCCGGGTCTGTTTAACATTGTGTGTAATACAATTCGATCGCACTCGGAGAACACCCGGCCGTTATTAGAGTCAGTCAGCGCTGTGCGTGTGTTGTTTTGTAACTTTCAACTTGTAAAATTAGGATGAGAAAAGTGTGAGTCGGTAATTTGAAATAAGGTGGAGAAAAAAACAAAAACACCACGAGCGACGTCATCAGAAGCAGGGTGGGCGGAGTTAATGCACACGCACGTGATAATGGAGACCTTCATGAGTGATGCGAGTTATTTTTTAATAATATTATGAATGAACCGTTTTCTTTTTTGCTCAGACTCGGCTCAGAGAGCACAGAGATGATAGCAAATAAGCAGCCACGGCGCCAGAATTTTTTCTCTACCGGTGCTAAGGGGGGACTAGACCAATATGTGGGGGTGCTAAGAAAATAAATGATATTGATGATGTCAGAGTAAACCAGGGCTATTCAAAATTCTGGCGGGGCTATAGCCCCCCCTAGCCCCGGTGTAGTGCCGTAACTGCAAATAAGTAAAGCTAACGTCAGCAGCCATGGAACTTTCTTGGCAAGGAGGATTGTGTGCATCACAGTCAGGCACAAGGGAGAAGGCTTCTTACATTAGGTAAGACAAAAAGTTAAATTTTCGCAACTTGTTTATCGACTTGTTAATAGCAATTTGCTGTGGAATATGTGCCGATCGGGTCCAGTCGGGTCTGTGTCTTCCCGGCCGGGTTCGGGTCCATCTTTCAAATAATTGACGGTCAGCGTCGGTTCCGGGTAGTACATTTTTGACATTTCTGGGTTCTGCACGGGCCCGGGTCCAACTTTCAAAATAATAGACGGGTCCGGTCGGTTCAGTGTAGCACATTTACGGGTCTCTTTCGAAAAACGAATTTTTGGACCCGTGTAGACCTCTAGTGCATATGTATTATTTTTATTGTTATTTAATTCTAACATTATAACATGAACTGCAGTGAAACTGTTATACAGTTGAATTTATTTATACCATAGTCCAGTGTTTCCCCAGGCGGCATATATATGCAAACTCATTCTCTGCCAGCAGGAGGCGCTGTTTGAGTGGTAGAGATCAAGGTTTCCCCGGTAACGGCTGTTCACAAAGCAGCGCTTTGCTCCAAAAAACACATCAGACATTACATGCAAGATTAAATGAAAATGACATCCAATTTTCTGAAGACAGTCGGTTTCCTTCAGAAATACAGTGATATAAAAACACCCGCATTCAATGTATGGGAATGTGTAATAACTTTCGAAAACTTGAGGCTACAGCAGCACTTCTTCTTCTTCGTCTTGTCTGATGCACTCAACCAAGTGTTCTAACCACGACCTCCCCTCCCCAGCCCCCAACCACTTGAATTTCCGTTTGAATGATATTCTAATGGGCCGAATAAGAAACGCTGTAGTCCAAACGAGCCGTTGGTTGTAACTCTTGGAAAGGGATTTTTTAAAAACGAAATATCTCCCTTTGGAGTGGACTTTGAGATTTGTAAGTTTGAAGATCTTTTTTATGCCCAAACATACACACTGACTAAAATTCAAAAAGTGAAAAAGCATAATAGGACCCCTTTAAATGGTTTAAACCATATTAGATACAAATCTATGGTTTAAACAGCCATTCAGATTTTTGTATTCTCAGTGGTGTTCATCACAGCACCAAATACTTAAATCATTCAACTTCATAGGCTATTATTTTCAAACTTTTTAAAAAATATTTTATCAGGACTACAACATGCCCTAGATGTTGTTTGAAAATGTTCTGATTCTTTATTGTTTGGTCACACTTTAGGCTACATTAAGTCTCTATTAATTAACATGAGTTAATTCATTAATTAACAAACTGCCAATGAAAAATTCTTCTAAACATTCATTAATCTTAGGTAGTTTCAATATTTAATAACACGTTGTTAAAATCAAAAGGTGCAACTGTGTTATTTAAAGAACTAACAGTTGTATTTTTTTTTAACAAAGATTAAAGTCTGTATGAAATCAAAATTGTGCAAGTTAATCCGTGCAAGTTAATCCGCTGAAAAAAATTGTTTGTCTTGGTAATCTTTAATCAAAATCTGAACATTTGCTTCTGCTCTGGAATGGCAGTCCTTCTCTGATGATGTCAGTTTGACGGCTTGGGCAGAATATCCTTAAATAATAGTAGTATTAAATATGAATAATACTATAATAATGTTAATGTTAATATAATATAAAAAGTTTTAATTAAGAAAAAATATAGACAGAAAAAATAGAACTGAATTTCTCACTCTTTCTTAGTGTACATTTATTGATTGGATGATTTCTTCGCTTTACAGGGTTGAGAAAACAAGGTGAAAAAAGCAAAATCAAGGAGTTGTCTACTCTACATCTGAATTGATCTGACAGGCATCTGACAAACATGGTCACTGATATCTGAATTAATTACAATAATTTGCAGAATTTTTGCAGAAAAGGTTTGGTACAATTAGGCCTAAACATACTGAGACCAAATTCAGTCAAATGCTCTTAAATGTAGTGTAGTGAACAGAGCTTGCATTTTATACACCAGATACACAGATTTTGAAAAGCCCCTGAGAACGAGAATAACTGAGAAATTCAAATTAGATCAACATGCAAAACTCATTCTTTTTATAATCATAATGTCAAACCCATCAAATCATACTCTATGGTTCAATGCTCTCAAATGAATAGATAGTTGAACTGGTAGAAGGTTTCATTAGCTGACAAACAAAAAGACACACAAAAGATATAATTATCTAAAGCATCTGAATGTACAAAGTGTCTGAAAATGTAGAGAACCTCACAATCTCGAACAACATTCATCTTTTTGATTCTCCTCGCTGCACAAATTGGATTCTACATGGCTTTTCAAAATTACATCCACACACTCTAGACTGATCAATAAATACCTGCATAAAATGTTCAGTGTTTTCTATCCATATGACTGCGCACACCCACACGCACTCGTACACATTTACAAGTACATACATCATTACACAAAAACAAAAGAAAGAAAAATGTGTTTCAACAAATATAAAGACCAGTTCATTTACAATGTTTCAATTGGTTTTAAATCCAAAGACTCACAGCTTTCAAAATGTATGAAAACTAGCAAACATTTTGCCACTGAGAGGACTTCAAATTCATTGAATCTCAAATGCAGTTTTGTGTGGGCTTCAGGGGTTATTCAAGTCACTTAATTGCAACAACTAATGTAAAACTGTACAATTTTTGTTTTGTTTTGTTTTAGGGAAGATTGATATCCCTTCTACATAAACCAGTATAAGGGATACATTTTAGATTCCTTTTTAGAACCGATATCTACCGGATAAAAAGAAAAAAAAAAGTGTTGAATTTTTAGTGTGATCACCAGTGTTGAAATCAAAATGAATCCTAGGGGGAAAACCAAGAAGGCAAATCACACTTTAAAGATACATCAAATGTACTCTGAATCACACTGACATTAAATACATAATGCGTGACTCTCAGAAGCACTCTTCTCTCTGATGCACAGGCCTTATAATATAATACTTCACACTCTACGCCACCAGAAGGCGCTGTTTCAAGCTTCCCAGCCACTTGTACATGTCTTCTGCAACATTTGTCAATGAGGCTCAAAGCTGGAGGATAATATACAAAGAATGGGCAAATATTGCCGATAAACTGATTGGCCGACGATCACCCAAAATAAAAATTACAGAGCTAAACAGCAATTCTATCCAAAATGTATTAAGCCAATCTTGAAAATGAAAATGAGTCAGGCACTTAAGCTCTTCAAATCCATAAGACAAAAAAAGAAACCAAACAACTCCATACAGATACTAAAAACATACAGAAACTGACTTAAGAATAATACAATTTAATGCTGATATATAAATCTTCTGTTCATCATACAAATGCTTCTAATTTATTGATATAAAGGCTTTATATGATTCATTAAAAATCATATAAATAGGATTAAAATTGCTACTGTCCAGTTATGTGTTGATCCAGATCTTTAGAAAAAAGCATTAAGGCATCAGAAGGATCACTGTGCTTCAAAATCTGTGCTGCGATCGGTCATGCACACTGTATAAGACAAATATCGGCAGAAGCCAGGCTTTGCAACTCCTAGTGTTTGTGGAAGCTTGATAAACTATGGCACAAAATCAACAGTGAATTTTCACTTCACTGATTGGGTGTCTCCGTCATTTCCTGAGCTGCTGTACAGCTATGGACACTGATTTTTGCAAGTTCTGGATCACAGCCTGATGTTTGATGGTCCTCCTGTTCAGCCCCATCCGGCTGAGGTTCTTCAGCAGAATTCATCTCCATGGATGAATCTTCAGGATGCTGATTTTCCTCCACATGTCCTTCACTCTCTTCTTCTTGAGGTGCTCCTGCTTTCTCACATTCATTCTCACTCTGGATTGGAGCTGTTGCTTCACTTTGACTTGCAGATGAACACCTAACCTCTTTTCCCTCCAGCATTTCACCATTATCTCTTGCTCCATCCATTTCTTCATTTATTTCTGCCTCATCTGTGGGTTTCTGGTGGACGCGTTGATGCCTCACCAGACTGTGCTTCAGGGTGAAGGTGCGGTGACAGGTTTGGCACTTATAAGGCCGCTCACCTACAACAACAAGGGTCATGTTAGATGCATCAACTCTTATATTTTAATTGTGTTAAAGGGATAGTTCACCCAAAAATGAAAATTCTGTCATTAATTACTCACCCTCATGTCGTTCCAAACCCGTAAGAGCTCCTTTTATCTTCGGAACACAAATGAAGATATTTTTGATGAATTTCGAGAGTTCTCTGACGCTCCCATAGACAGCAATGCAATTACCACGATCAAGGTTCAGAAACGTAGCAAGGACATTGTTAAAATAATCCATGTGACATCAGTGGTTCAACCATAATTTTACGAAGGTACGAGAATACTTTTTGTGCATAAAGAAAATAAAAACGACTTTATTCAACTATTTGTCTCCTCTGCATCACCCTGGTGCCATTTTGGAGTATCCACTGAACGTAAACAACGTATGCTGTTCTGTGTCAGCTGCACCAAGCAGATACGTTTTCTACATTGTTTACACTTTGATCTGAACGAACACAACGTATCGGCATGGCGCAGCTGACACAGAACAGCATACGTTGTTTATATATGTGATACTCTCCAAAATGGCACCAGGGTGACGCAGAGGAGACAAATTGTTGAATAAATTCGTAATTTTTTTTCTTTGCGCACAAAAAGTATTCTCGTAGCTTCGTTAAAATTACGGTTGAACCACTGATGTCACATCATTGCATTCTGTTTTTATTCACAATTTGTACAGTGTCCCAACTTTTTTGGAAACGGGTTTGTAAATTGAGGATAGTAAATAATACCAGTAAAATGCTCCAGATCTTACCAGTATGTGAGCGCATGTGTCTGGTCAAGTCTTGCAGGCTCCAGAAGCGTTTGCTGCACACAGCACAGATCTTCTTCCTCTTGTCGGTTTTGCCTCCAGCAGGGTCGCCCTCCTCTTCCAAAGCCCTGAGCTCTAAGGAAGCAGCCTCTTCTTCATCATCACTCATCTCTTCCCTCTCCTTCTCCTCCTCATCAGCACCACTTTCCACACAGCTGCTGTTCTCGTCCTTTTCATCATCTTCTAACTTTGCCTCCAGCTCCAGCTCCAGCTCCTTTCTGGGCGCTGTGACTGGGTTTTGAGGAGCAGGTTGGCGTCTTCCCTTTTTGCCTCCATCCTCTGGCTGGACCTCCTGAATGTGAGTTTTCTGGTGTCGGCTGAGGGTGGCTGCATGGCGAAAGGTCTTCTTGCAGGATGCACAGGTGTGTGGGAACTCATCTGGTGGAGAAACCGGTTCAGCAGTTGATTTAGGCTGGCGCTGCTCTGTTCCAGAAAGCTTGAAGTCTACAAGCTTGTTGGCGAGATTCATATCAAGACTATTATTGCTTTGAGAGTCATCATTATTTTCTACTCCCTCAGGGCTTCCCTCTGCTAGCTGTGTTTGGTTTGGGTCTGAGATGCTGTCTGTTTGTTCAGCGGCTGATTGTTCTGTTTGTTCTGGTGCTTGTTCTGGAGATGAAGCTTTCTCCTCTTGTTTGGGGTTGACAGAGCTCAGATCCACAATATCTCTGGTTACAGGAGGTTCAGTGTCAGATACACTCTCTACAAAGACAAGAAAAGCTTGTTAAGCACTATATACATCGCACTGCTTTGCATACACAAGTTCACAATGATGTAGTAATATTCAATTATATTATAATATTGCAATATGAAAAGTCTTGTTGCTACACAGAAAACACACTAAATTACAATACATCATGAAAGAACCATCAACCCTTCATCTCAAAATTTAAATCAGCACATTTCTGGACAAAAAATGTTATCTGATCTTACTTCATACAATATATATGCAAGACCATTAGTGCTAAATATTCATATATACCGTAATATAATGTTACTGACCAATAGTACTAGTACTTCCTTGGGATCCTTCGTCAGCCTTAGGTTTGGGTTCAGATCCACTGTTTTGAAGAGTCCGATTAGATATTCCATGTTTGCGGAGCAGATGGCGCTCACAGTTTGACTTTGTGGAGAAGAATGACTCACACTGAGGACAAGGATATGGCTTCTGACCTGTGAAATCAATGCACAAAACTGTAACACTCTGAAGAGAGAAACAAAACTTTATTGACTCAAATACATTGGATAAAATACAAAAATTTATATATAATATAATAAATTCAAAAGTTTGGGGTCGGTAAGATTATTTTTTTGTTTTTGAAAGATATTTCTAATGCTCACTATGGCTGCATTCATTCGATTAAAAACACAGTGAAAACAGTAATACTGTGAAATATTATTACAATTTAAAATATATGTTTTCTATTTGAATATATTTTAAAATGTAATTTATTTCCGTGAAGACTGAATTTTTTAGCAGCCATTACTCCAGTCTTCAGTGTCACATCATCTGATTTCACATAATCACATCACATACTGATTTGTTGCACGATAAATATTTCTTATTATATTCAATGTTGAAAACAGTTGTGCTGCTTAATATTTTTGTGGAAGCTATAATGCATTTTTTTAGGATTCTCTGAAAAATACAGAAAGTTCAAATGAACAGAATTTAATAAAAAAAACAGAAATCTTTTGTAACATTTAAAGGTGGGGTATGTATTTTTTCAAAAACGCTTTAGAAAACGGAGTCGAGACAAGTACCAAAACAAACTTGTAGCCAATCAGCAGTAAGGGGCGTGTCTACTCATGATGTGGAGGAGAGCGCTCAGTGCACAGGACAGACATTAGCCAAGCCGAGGGACGACAGAAAGATAGAGATGGCGGATAAAAAAACAAAAGAGGAAAACGTTTGCGGAACAAAAGAAGGCTTACGATAAGGCAAGAAGTAGGACCCGTGTAAATATCGGATCAGCTTTCGAGCGCTGGAGAGAACTCAAGGAGCAGGAAGGCCTGTTTCTTTTCGATAGGTGAGTAACATTGGTTTTGCTTTGTTTCACAGAACTAATATATGCTGTTTAAAAATATATGCACGTTAAAACAAACAGTGCTACCAAAACACATTTGACCTGTATTACCATAGTAACACACATTGCTTTCACTTATTGATGACATCATACCCTCAGCCGGCTGGCACAGTAGATTCCGTCATAATCGTTGCCTGGTTTGCATACGCATGTGTGGGGCAGAGCTATCAAAATAGGGGCGAGACCCTTTTGGGGGTAGGGGCGTGTTTGATTTGGTGATTTGAAATATCAACACTGGCTACCAGAAATCACTTACCCCACCTTTAAAATGTTTTTACTGTCACTGTTGATCAATTTAATGCATCCTTGCTGACTAAAAGTATTCATTCCCCCCCCCCAAAAAAAAACTCGTGAAAAAGTAGTAAAAAAAAAAAAAAAAAAAAAAAAAAGAAAAAAAAAAAAAAAAAAAAAGTAGTGTAAATAATTATAGACAGTGATTGAATTTCAAAGCTAATCAACACATCCAACTTTAGCATGTTTGTTCACTCTGTCTGCACTGCTGTGAGAATTAGTCAAGATCTATTTAATGGTTGTAGAACGATTCCAGCTAAATGGCTGACAAATTAAATACTGTACAACATTTAACAAATTCTGTAAACTCCACTTTCCTAAGAATGGTATGTAGCTCATTGTATTGTATGATAGAGTAAATAAAAAAGTAAATAAAGTGCTTTATGGCATAATTTATGAATTGTAAACAGTGTCTCACCAGAGTTGCCAAGTCTGCGTATTATATGCGACTTTGGGCTTCCTTTTTTGTAAAGTTGCGTGAAAAAATCCCGGGTCGCGAGTTGCGTTTTTTTGGGCTTATTTAAAAAATATGGTTGCTTGTTAGGAAAACCTGACAAGCAACTTGGTTTCTTTATTTATGTTCGCCATATTCTCCGGTGCATTGAATGATTTGCTCGCAGTTAATAGCCAACCAGTGCAATAATATAAGTGCTGCAGTGTAATTTGTCAAATATTCCGCCCCCTCCTTACGTGCCTTCTTTTTGAATGTGATTTTTCTTCAATGAAGGATTGAAAAAAAAAAAAAGTTAATAAAGAAGGCGCATGACGCTGTAATTCAAGTGATGATAGTAGGCTAGTAGACGTAGAGGAGTGGGATGACTTTTTTCCTTTATAATGTAGCCAAATTTTTTATTTTTACAAAGTTTTTGTAATGTATTAATTATCACGGGCTGTAATAAAAAAACAACAAGTAGGCCTATACTAATGCTAAGAGTATATTTGGTTCGAATAGCCAATATTTTAGTAGGCTATAAATATGTGGCTATGTTACAGATCCCCTTTGAAGCTGTGTTTTTCTCCTTTTCCATCTCGCCAATCCTATTCTACTCACAGATGATTGGAGATGAGTTTTGTTCCTGCTTTGTTGTTGATTGATTGATTTTTTGTAAAATAACTTATGTTTTTGATTTTCAGATAAAAGTGTAGTTTCAGTTTAATATGTTGTAGGCTCATTTATTGGTAATAAATAATTGATAATAAATAATATTGAACATAATAAATTATCAAAAAATATTGGGCTTGTTTTTAAAGCTGCGGTTGCTTATTTGTCTCGCGAGAGTTGGCAACAGTGTGTCTCACCTGTGTGTGTTAGCATATGCCTTTGCAATGAGCTGGCCCAAGGGAATAGACGTGGACAGTATGGGCAGGTCATTTTCTGCACTGAATTGGAATAAGCGTTCTTCTTTCCTTTGTTCTGTGAAGGTTTCTTTGGCTTATCCTTTCGTCCCTCTTTTGCCTCCTCATTGACAGACTGCTTCTCTTTCTCTTCCTTCATTGGCTCCATCTGACTAGGTTGTAAGTAGGGGCTGAATTTATTTGAGTCTGTGGTAGCTAGCATTTTCTCCACACTGGGAAACTCTCCACTTGACTCCAAGTCAATGCCACAACCTGCTGGCGTTCTCGGATCACAGATCTCTTCCTGAAACGGTCTCTTCTTGCCTCTCTTCTTTGAGTTACCAGAAGAGCCATTTTGAATGGAATCCAGTTTGGTAGTGCCCTTCTTCTCACTTAGTGTATTAAAATCCATTGCACTAACACTGTGTTTGCCATCTATTCCTGTTTCGATCAACACTGGAGTAGCCGACACAGACGAGATGATCTGAGCAATGGAGGCCAGCGGTGGCATTTCAGTACTGGAAACAGAAGATGGTTTTGGTAGCAATGGCTTCAAGCGAGTAAAAGGCTTAGTAAGGTCACTGGATAGAGCAGAGGCCAGGCTAGAAATGGAGACTGGGAGAGCTGCGAGAAGTCCAGGGGTCGTTTCCAGGGTCTGTTCTTTCTTGATGTCTTGTTGATTCAGGGACACGCTCTGAGGTTGTTCTTTTGTCATTCTCTTCTTCTCAGGATCCTTAGGTATTGAGAGATCAATGGGCTCCATAGAGCAGTCGTTAAACAGAGGAGATGTTGTTACTTCAAGTTTAACATTTGAAGCAATCGTTTTTTGAGATTTGCTAGAGAAATCCAAAGGCTGGTCATGGTCCTCAACAGGTCCAGCGTAGGGACCTACATTCTGAGGAACGGTGCTTTTAACCAGCCCATTTGAGGTTGGAGGGTTGGCTTGAGCGGTGGTGTCTCCTCCAACAGGTACAAGACTTTTGATGTGTTCTTCAATTTCCCGCTCTGGAACATCTGGGTGGTGCTTCAGCAAATGGTGAATGCAGTTCCTTTTAGCGAGAAACGCCACCCCACATTGCTTACACTCAAATGGCTTCCGCTGACATCCATTGTGTGTTCGCAGGTGAATCTGAAGTGCTCTGTAGTTTTTAAGGTCATCCCCACAAAATCGGCAAGATGTGTTACTGGCACCAGCTGTATCAAGGAGGTCTAGTGTGGAGCCTCCGATTACACCACTTACACTAGAGGAAGTGGTTACATATTCAATGTTTTTCTCGATGTCTTTACGTGTGTTCTTCATGTGTTTCTTGCGCAAATGACGCTCACAGTTAGCCTTTACAGTGAAAGGGTAGTGACAGAGGCGGCAGACATATGGCCGCTCGCCGCTGTGCGTTCTAAAATGTCGAATCAGCGTTGCTTTGTCAGGAGCGGAGTAGCTACAAATGGTGCACTGGTAAGGTGACGCTCCCAGATGGTGACGCATATGAGCCTGGAGGCCGCCTAAGAAGGAAAAAACTTCCTTGCAGAACCGACAAGGGTACTCGGTCTTGGCCATCTTCTTGCCTCTTGATTCCTTCTCCTTGCCATCAAACTCTTCTTGCTTTCCAGTTTCATACGAGATAATCATGTTTCCTATGACATCTGGCCCCAGTTGAGTAGGCTCCCAGTTGGTAGGAGAGGACGAGGTTGAGGATGAAGAGGAGGCTGGTGATTGTCTGGCAGTTCTCACTTGTTGACCTGTTTGGGGTGGAAGGCTAGGACTGATGTTGCCCGATGAGGCCTGTTGGGCGTTCATGACAGGAGGAGGGGGCGTGGAGGCACCCATACTGGATCGAGGAGTGATTAAGGGCTTTTGCTTCAGAGAAGCAATCTGTTTGGGGTCCACCTGTAGAGGACTGCTCAGACCTTTGGCAAGCATAGACAAAGACATCTGAGGTGGCACAGAGGCTGTGAGCTTAAGGATTTTTTCAATGTCTGCCAGCTCCACCGCAGCTTGACCACTTATTGGGACAAACATACCACTACTGACATGGAGCGGCTGTAGCGACAGGAGGCCAAGGGCGGCGTTCTTGTTCATGGCTTGAAGAGAGACGGGTTCCAAAATTGAGACGCCGAGATTGTTGCTGTTTTCGTGAGGTAGATTAGTTGAAGGTGGCTCAATGCGAATGAACCGAATGCTGTCTAAAATTTCCTGCTGAATTTGCTCTTCTGATTTCTCTGGTTTGACCAAGGAGGAGTGTTGGAGACCCAGGCACTCCAAGAAACCGTTTTTTCCATCTGAAATGGTACTATCAACATGTGGTACTAGTTCATTGACCTCCTTGGAATCCGTGGAATGGGAGTTAACTTTGGGTGCATCCATAACACCATCTGCGTTATGTTCCTGAGGTTCAGTGCTGGTGTCTGCGCTACTTTTGTGTGAGGATTTGTGGAGATCCAGAGACTGCTGAAGAGGGAAGGCCTTGTTGCAGACTTCACAAACAAATTTATGGAACTTGCTAGAGCATCTGCGCAAATTAGTCTCACACCAGACCTGAATAAATAAAACAAATTATCTTCTGTCATCATCAAAAAAGAAATAAAGTAATTCTATCTCATCTAATGTATTTCTAATGTAAGTCTTTACCTGTGCAATTTGGGGAAATTTTTGACAACTGAAGTCAATGAAAGCCAAGTCACCAAACCCCAGAGGGATGGAAGGGTTATTCTGAATAAAGGGTTGTCCAGAGGGGTCAGTAGGGAGCTGCTTATGAATGGCGGTGTTATGACGCAGAAGACCCCGGTGTGTGCGAAAGGTAATGCAACAAATATTGCACCTAGGATTAGAGAAAACAGTCAGAAACAGTATATATATATATTAGATATTTATACAGGAATACAATGTCCGGAGCCTACCCGAGTGTAGTGTCAGGATGTGTCTCCATGTGTGTTTCCAGATCATATTTACAGTTGAATGTCTTAAAGCAGATGGGGCAGTGAAGGATCTCTTCTTCACTCTTAACAGAATCATCCTCTCCCGACTTTTGCACCAACATCACCTAAAACAAGACGATTTGTTTTCATATAAAGTCAGAGGTACGGGCATAATAAATTCCAAAAGTCATTTACACTATTTGACTGTTTTTACTGACACAGACATAAAGAAGGGTGGAAATGTACCTTTTTAACTGGCGGCTCCTCAGCCTGCTCCACTTCATCCTCTACACTGGGCTTCTTCTTAGTAGGGAGTCGTCGGCGCTTTAGTAGGGAAGAACTAGGGGTAGGAACAGTGTTTGCATCCTTTTCATGAATTTTCATGTGCCTGCAGAAATACATAACTAAACTCAGACCAAGTTCTGTCTATTGACATCCATCATAAAAATAAGAAAAATTAAAATGCTTAACATGCATAGGCACTCCTTACTGATATATTTGCATTTAATGTATTTTAGCCTACATTTGAGGTGTCCAAAAATAAAATAAAATATATTTTGCATTGTGACAATTCTTCAGAACACTTAATATGAATTAACCTCAATTCTCATTATTGAAATGCAATGTCTCATTTTCATAATTGTAAATGTATTGTATAGATCAATATACAATTTTAAATAAAAAATTAATTAACTGTTTTAATTTAATTGTAAAAATGACAATAATGAGGGTTCATTTAAATCTTTAGCCTCATCCATGTAAAACATTCTCTGTGATGTGATGGCACCGGGGCCACAGGAATACTTCAATAATTAAAGCATGCAAAATACAGAGAGGAGTGACCAGGTGGTGGGAAATGCAATTATATGGCCAGCAGAGGTCAGAGGTAATGTGTGGAGGCAAAGTGCTGGGAGTCGCATTACGACATGCTGGAACGTGCGCACCTCTCACCCTCCTACACTTACACAGAAATAAACCCACCTTTCAGGTTCAACCAGATACAAGGCCCCTGATGCTTATGTGCAGTTGTGTTTCATAGAAAACGGTTGACCAAATAGGTCTATAGAGCATATGTATGGTGTGCACGTTTTCAAATTAAATGTGTATTGCATTGTGGTGTAGAGTTAATGGTCTGCACTTTGTATGTAACTGGAAAGGGAGGATAAATGTCAGCAGACCCAGTGGTAAGAATCTTGTTTTACATTCTGCAGCCAAAGATATTAATAGCAGAGAGGCAAAGTGATGGTCACCCACATGTGGACCCAGCCCTGACAGCCTGAATCCTGTTCCATCTCATGTCTCTGGCCACAGCAAAAAACCATGTTGATACCTTACAGACTGAAACAGTATCAGCATAATTATGTTATCACGCAACCATAATTACAGTTATTGCAATTTCTTGTCACATGGCACTTAATCACATTGTGGTTTTGTGTTTGAAGTTACTAGTTGATGCACTGAGTAAATGTTTCCTTCTGCAGTGCCTCATCAATATTGCCAGAGGGCAGTGTGGGGAAAAACAGCTCAGCTGCATGATTTAACATACCAAGAAAAGCTGTTTTTGTTATGTAATATATGAAACGATACGGTTAAAAATGACCCAAAAAATCCATAATGTGCCATCCAAAAAATATTTTCAGCACCCCTCTCCCTGCCCCCTGCCTTTTTTCCCTCTCTCACTCACACAAACTTCTTCCACCCCCATCTGGAATGCCTGCATGTCTCAACTGCACAAGGAAGCCCTCTATGCACATCCCATCAACACAAACAAAAAGAGTCACACATCAAACCCTCCTCCACCACAAAGACACATGAAAAGAAAGCATGGACACAGAACCATCTTTCCAAATATAGGTGACATGAAAGAAAGAAGCCAGCACAGCCATCAATATCAGTCAGCCTTGAGATTTAGGCCTCTCACATCACATGCAGACATTCCTTCATCCCTCCCGACCCTCCCTCCGTACCCTCCTCCTCCTCCACCACAAACCTACAACTACTTTATTAATGCAGCATGCAACCTGTGCACACACATTTGGTTACAATTATTTCTTTAGGTCACCAATGATGCAGTTTAACACATTTGAAACCTAAAAGTGGTATGGATATAATGCTTGGAAGTATTTAGATTTTTTCCTGCATCAAACATTTTTCGTCAGTCGAACGCCTTGGACCTAAACCATTTATTTGATGTATTCCCCTTAAGATTTTAAGTTAATATTCCAATAATTTAGTTTTTCTCAATCGATTTTTCTCAGTCTCCAAACTCAGATCACTGTTCTCAAAACAGTTAACACAGTGATCTGAATACTTTGTAATTGTCCAGAGCAGATTGTACGTTTTCATTCATTTTATACAAATTACAAATCATGCAATAGTTTGTGTTAAAGTTTTCACAATAGTTAATGCAACCAACCAATAGTTTAAAATATCTGAAAAAATGTTTTACACAAATCACAAACATTTATGTACTATTTGTCCAAACACAACAAACAAAACTCTGTAATTTGTCAATCGATCAAATGAACATATTTTCGATTGGCCCTAAACTGATAACTATTCGGTTAATCATACACTCAACACAGGAAATGCAGTTTTCCTAATCGTTTACACATTTATCACAATTGCTTTAGAGAAATAATAAAAGGGAAAGTATACAAAGAGCAAGAATGAAAATGCAAAATAATAATAATATTAATAAAATATAAATTTAATACCTTTTAAGACCTTTTTTAAGACTCTTTCCATACATTTTAAGACCTCATCGCCAGTCCAAATTTTAACCGGTTACATCGGCAACACTTTAACCTACATTTACTATATATTGATTGTAAGATAGCACAACTAAACAGACTTACTTTGTGATAACTCCTTATCAATACAACATAATTCAGAAGGGGGGGACGAGGCACAAGAGAATTAATTGAGTGACTAACCAATGCAACCCAAGAAACAAAAATTAGACCAATAAACAAAACAACTGACAAAACTTATTGAGGAGGGAAAATAAAACTCTCCGAGCTAACGGGGCAATGAGTTCACACAGTATATTCAAAAGACGTATTTGTAACATCAACTCTTATAACTGTCTGCAAACCATAGCTCTTTTGTGGAACACTTCTCATGACAAACATCAGACTGATCAGACAGTTTACCTGTGATTACGGAGTGCTTGATTTGATGCAGACTTGACAGAGTGTCAGTACTGCACCTGATCAAGTCTGAAGTATCATGGAAGGTAAAATAATGATCACAACTATTACATCATTTTAATTGTGCATCCCAAGCCCATGCCAGTAATGAAAAAACAGCCCAAAGTAGCGCAATTACCATGTCCCAAATATAAAAATGTAATTTCCATCCCTAAAATACATATTTTACAGCCACTGTTATGCACATTTATCATAAACACAGCTCAAATGCTTCCTACTAGTGTGGCCCAAAACATTTAGCACAGTTTTATTACAGGTAGAATGCAAAATGTTTCAGTACAAGCATTTCAACCAAATATAATTTATGCAATATTTTAAACCTTTAACCCACTGCGGAAGAAGAAGAGTGGAACAGGCAGAAAAAGGTGAGCAGAGAGGGAGATGTGAGAAATGAGGAGAGGAAAAGGAAAGGGAGAAGAGATGAGTAGAGAGGAGCGCATTGGTGTAGTGGAAAGAGCATGAGGAGAAACTGTAAGAAGACATGGACAGAGAGGAAGTGGACAACAGGGTGGAAGGAGAGGTAGAAGGTGCAGATGAATTTCAAATGAAATCAGAATTACCCTAATTGACCATGTAAAAAAATCATGGCCTCTCCCTTAGAGAAGCTGGGGGGGGGGCATCCTATGATGCAAGCACAGCAAATATGTTGTGTAGATTAAAATGCAATCTATCCAGATCTATCCACCACTGTGCTGTAAAAGACTGATCTGTAGTTTTCAGAAAAGTTTGTTTGCAGTTCTTGCTGCTAAAGGTGGCACAAACAGATTTTAAGTTTAAAGGGGCAGTTAGTTTTTTCTCATAGTTGATAGCAGGTGTTGGATAACAATTTTTATTTCATTTAGATATCCACAATCTATATAAAGCTAAACTCCCTGTTGAATAATTGCAATAAACATGTATTTTCATTAGCATATTTGTGCATCTACAATTGAATGTGTTTTATAATCAGTAGAGAACACACCTATAGATTTGATGTTAATATTTACATTTAGTAATTGCATTACTAGAAAAAATTGCAGTGCTTCATTTTGCAGTAAAGTTGAACTGTTTGGTTAAGATAATTTTGCGTTTGGATGGCTGTGTTAAATGTTTTGAGAACAAGTACATTGCATTGAAGAAAAGTGTCAAATCGATTGAGAAAAACTGTAACAATGCATTTGCATGTTAAAGCTTCTCTGATGTCAGACAATGATCACATGGCATGCATGCAAACAGAATATTTCATCTTTTTTAGAGTGTTATATTTTGATATTTTTATTTTACAGTTATTTATTTACATTTTGATACATTAATTATTAGCTTCTCATCAACTCGTAAACCCTTTCTCTTCTGTTTAAAGAAATGTAATGTGTTCAGTACAAATTAAGCTCTATAAACAGCATCTATGACAATGTTGATTACCACAGTTTACCTTTTGACTTGTCAAAGGTAAGAGCAAAAATGGTATTTACAGTAAGTAACGCCACTTACAATGAAAGTAATGCCAGACCGTTAAGATACACACTAAAATACACTTAAAAATACATTAAACAAAGTACGGAGTGTTTTGAAGTACAGCCAAAGACAAACACGTTTCGACATAAGACTAGTGGAAATCAAGTTGCTTACTGACCTTGTAAAGTTTGATTATGAGTAAAGTTATATCCAATAGACAATGATCAAAATACCAGAAAAGCACTATTTAAATAGAGTATAAACAAGTGTCTTCACTTCAAAAAGGATGATTTAGACAATGCTACAGCTTAAATTATAAACATTATATAATTATATTTCCTAAATGCTCTTTAACAAAAATAAAAGCTTCACATTTTGGATTTTAAACCCTGCGTAATGCTTATTTCCAATAGAGGTGTGTTACTGTAACCAATATTTTTGATTTGAACAAAAACTTAGTGATGAATCAAAATGATTTTCTTTGGTACTGAACATTATTCCACATATTCTGTTGATAAGAGTTTCACTTTTAGCGATATATTAATGAAAACCTCCATGCAGCTAAACAGGAAATAGGATACTCTATTGTGTATCATTGTGCGCCAGTGAAAAGGCTAGTCTACACTTACATAAAAGTTAAACATCTACCATTTTAAAAACACTGTCTGACCATTTACCTGTGCATGTTTCCATTGGTAGTGAAAGTCTGATTACATATCACACACTTGTGTGGCCTCTCTCCACTGTGAACCAGCATGTGGCGGTCCAGAGAACTGGCTGAGCTCAAAGCCTTCCCACAGATACTGCAGGAGTGGTCAGTTCCCCCACTATCTGTGTTATGCTGGAGGAAAAAACGAGGCACAGATGTGAACATACTGATATACAGTCTATATAACATGTTCAGTTTTAGTAAAATTCTGATTTTAAGACAAACTGTTGTGGTTCAGTAAACAGGTGTACATGTAGGGATGTTCTGGTGTGTTTGTGTAAGAGAGAGTGTGCACCTGTCTGATATGCATGGTGAGCTGGTGCTGTGTCATGCAGTTTTTGTTACACAGGGGGCAAATGAAGCTTGAGCGTTCGTCTTTGACTTCCTGTAGCAGACAAAAAGACAAAACACATTTTAGTTACAATGTACTAAATTACATAGTTATTTAGTTGAATGTCTGTTGCATAATCCAACGTTTTTCTCTGGGCAAAATAATTAAATACTTGCCAAAACAAAATAAAATCTGTACAAAATATAGTTTGCCAGACGGCATAGTACGGCCATATGCAAACGTGATGCTGACGCATCCAACGAGTGAAATGCCCGCTCTCAGCCGTAAATTCATCATAGGTAAGTCGATATACAAAATATATTCCACTTAAATCATTAACAGATTAACAAAACGAAATAAAAATTTTTTTGCTGAGTTTTGGATAGTAGTTGTAACGTGCTCCGAATTTCACGGAAAAAAACGAGACGGCAAAAAGCAGTTTTCTTTATTTTACAAAAGCTTTACATTTTTGAATGATGTTTTGCTTCTATCTGTATGACAAACCAGCATTGGTATGACCATAAATTACGGAGTAACAGTTGGGAAAACAATGCAGTGATCGCGTCGGTGCCTCACATGCACATATAACAAATTTTTGCTAATTTGACATCGCAGCCTGTTCATTATCCAAATAAAATACAGTTAAAGAAACATAAAAAGTTACACTGCTCAATTGAAATAGTCTGTAGTACAGTCTGTGCCATTCAGTGTGACCAGCGCCTCACTGCTGATATAGCCTATATGTGAAGGATGATGTTTTACGTCGTTAATACGAGTGAAGAACAAAGCCTATAGTTTACATAATACATAATAGGTTAGCATCCAGATACTTTGCGAATATGGAAACATTTGGATTCATGCAGAATGAGAGAGGTAGGCTTCAGTTTCGTTTTTAAATTAATTCGTTTTGGCTTGATGCTTATATTTAGCCTAAATACAACTTTAGAGGATTTGTTGTGGATAGAAGGGAACTAAAATAGCCTAATTGTGTTTGTAATTTTGCTTTTATTTACCATTATTTTAGCCTACATTATTTCTGAATGTAATAATAAAATGCAACGTACAGCCTACTAATTTAGCGCTTATAGGAGTAGCATTTTTTTTTTATCCATGCAGAAACATTTTTAAATACCTTGAAAAAAAATCTTTAATGTTTTTATTGCGTTGACAGTTTTTTCTTTTGTTTAATACATTTGGTCTTTGGTAAATCTAGAAAAGATGATGCTGTATTGGCTATGACTAAGAGAGATCATTCAAGACTTTTCATGATTTTTCTTTTTGAGTAAATTAAACGCTGTACTTTATTATTTTTATTATTGGCAAAGAAAAAGTTTAAAAAATAACATTATTAACTGGTATGTTTTCTACTCAAACCGGTTTCACAGAGGAACGCAGGAACAGAAACATTCAAATACTGATTCTGCTCGGAGTGAACCAATCTTTTTTTTCCTTCTTCTTTTTTTTAAGCCCTGCTTTATGCAATTGACCAATAGCGATATCGGTATTGGCCAATAGGTTTTTTTTTGTTAAAATCGGTATTGGTATCAGCATCGGCCAAAAAAAATCCTATCAGTGCATCCCTAAGTTTTATATACATTTCTGACTAGATTTCAAAAACATTGCAGCTTTTTAACAGTGCAATCATACCTAAGGTGTACCATTTAACCATTTCTTTTAAAAAATATAAATATGTTTTTGTAATACATTCAGCATAACAAAATGTTTGTAAATCATACTGTGCCTATATATAGTTAGTAACTAAACTAACTATATATTTTGAACTATTACACCTTATGAGAGTCATAGACCCTGAAAACACATTATGTAATTATGTATTAATCAAACAAAAATACGGCTCCTCAACACATGTGGCTCCCCATGACTCCGAAACCCCAGTGAGTCGTTTATTTGTCCCCCAGTGAGAGATAAACACAACAGGTAAAACAGATGCAAGATGTGGCCTGCCTGATGAAGATAGTATGTGTCAGAGCAGCAGGAGCGGTTGTGCGCTCTCGTCACATGGAGCAACAAGTGGCCTCTCCATCTGTTTCTCCAGACAACAACAGCACTGGCTGAGGATGAGCATCACTAATTCAATGGGTAAGACCTTCTGCAGGCGAGCAGTGGTGCAGAGTCACTCTCAGCGTATGGAAATACAGTTAGGGCTGTGAGATGGGATACCAGAGGGGGCTGGGGGACTGAAACACCTGTTTTCTCCACAGAGAAGTGTTTCAGTAAAATCCCACACTTTAATTGAAGGCATAAGGCAAGCATCGGCTCTCACAAAGGGGGGATTGAGAAAGCGCAAGGACCATTTGTTGCCACTCATTTAGCTGAGTTTATGTAACTGCCAGTACGAGGGAGACGAGACGGACCACTTGTAGAAAAACAGGAGAATTCGTATGACTAAATATGGCATTTATAGAAATTAAAAGTGTCACCTTATGAGTAAATGAGCCAATCGCATGTTTGCTTACTCTAGAATGTGGGCCAGCCTTTTGTAGCATCACTTGAGCTAAAGAGGCAACATTTTGCATTTTATTTCTAATGTGAAATATGTTATTGAAGATTAACCTTGGGCTTAAGAGATTTGGGCTGCATCAAAAATTGCATACTTCCCAACTATACAGTAGGCAAAAATTAGCAGGTGAAAAAGTAGTATAGTATGTCTGAATTAACAGTATTCATAAAATAGTAGGCAAAAAGTACTATTTCTGGTGAATTAGTATTTTTTTATCAGGCTCCAATGTTTATGTTCAGTTATTTCACTTTAATGGCAATGAAAAAAAACCTATTCATTGCCATTAAAGTGAAATTACTGAACCTACACACAAGAGGCTGATAAAAATTTTCATTTTAGAAGAAAATTTCAAACGTCACTTAGAGGCTTTTGCATCTGAACCCTTCATATATATAATAGTGCTGTCAAATGATTAATCGCATCCAAAATAAAAGTTTTTGTTAACATAATATATGTTTGTGTATATTCATTACGTATATATAAAAGCACACACATACAGTAAATATTTTGAAAATATTTACATGTATATTTATATTATATGGGCATGTCACCATATTCTAATTTGTTGAGATGGTGAATTGGTGGGTTTTTGTTAAATGTGAGCCAAAATCATCACAATTAAAAGAACCAAAGACTTAAACTACTTCAGTCTGTGTGCATTGAATTTATTTAATACACGAGTTTCACAATTTGAGTTGAATTACTGAAATAAATGAACTTTTCCACGACATTCTAATTTATTGAGATGCACCTGTATATTATGTGAGCAAAAACGTTTACTTTGGATGCGATTAATCGCAATTAATCGTTTGACAGCACTAATATGCAACAACTGCTGCTATACCTGATTTCTTCTCCCAGTACGATTGACAGAAGGGGATTTGGTTGAATTTCTGGGAGATATTTTGGTGGGCTCAGAATCAACTCCATTGATCTGGCCCACATTCATCACAGTGTTCATCATGGAGTTGATAGAGGACAGCTCCTCCTCTGTTCTAACTCCACCTTCATCATCATCTCCATGTTCTGGTTTGTCCGTTCCATCACAGTCTGCTTCTATAAATCAGATAAGAGTGAGTAAATAATGACAGAATCTTTATTTTTTGGATATATTGTCTCTCTTAGAGCCACTGTGGCATCTTACCTTCAACTGGTTCTGGTATATGTGTGGAGGACTGATTGTTCATAGCCTCTTCTGACAAATGAGACTGTTCATTCACATCAGCAGCCCCAACAGCACTGCTGACAGTCTTCTCAGGGGAGGCACTTTCCATTTCTAAGAACAGAGAATATCTGTTACTCACACAGAACTCAATATGACATAAATTTTAAAAGATACACCCATTAATAAATTACTTTTCTCATATGCAAAGGAGGCCATGTGGAAATCATCTTATCATTGCCTAAATGGTTACAGTTAATCTCTGCAGGAGCTGTAGTGCGTTTTACAGGAGCAACTTTATCAGTCAACTTCCTCTTTTAGCACATGTGCTTCTTAATAGTTTTCTTACATTCAAATAGACAAAACGAATAAAAACAACAACAACTCTATATTATGAATAATTTAAAAGGACTATGCTAAGACTGCAAAAGGCCCTGATATTAAAGCAAATTTTTATTTAGGTTTGTAAATGCATGATGGAAATAAGTCTCTTTCAATGGCTGACCAAAAAGACTAAAAGAAAGTTTTTGAGAAGGCTCTGTTGAGATTTGGATGTGATTTGGATGTGACATTTTTATATGTATGTATACTACTCTTCGAAAGTTTGTGGTCGATAAGATTTTTTGTTTTTGAAAGAAGTTTCATGAAGGCTGGATTAATTTGATAAAAAATACAGTAAAAACAGTAATATTACAATTTGAAATAACCCTTTTCTATTTTAATATATTTTTAAAGTGTAATTTAATCCTGAGATGGCAAAGCTGAATTTGACTCCAGTCTTCAGTGTCTGAGAGGCCATTTTGAAGGCTCAGGAAACCTTTGCAGGTGTTTTGTGTTGATTAGCTGATTGGCATGTCACCATATTCTAATTTGTTGAGATGGTGAATTGGTGGGTTTTTGTTAAATGTGAGCCAAAATCATCACAATTAAAAGAACCAAAGACTTAAACTACTTCAGTCTGTGTGCATTGAATTTATTTAATACACGAGTTTCACAATTTGAGTTGAATTACTGAAATAAATGAACTTTTCCACGACATTCTAATTTATTGAGATGCACCTGTATATTATGTGAGCAAAAACGTTTACTTTGGATGCGATTAATCGCAATTAATCGTTTGACAGCACTAATATGCAACAACTGCTGCTATACCTGATTTCTTCTCCCAGTACGATTGACAGAAGGGGATTTGGTTGAATTTCTGGGAGATATTTTGGTGGGCTCAGAATCAACTCCATTGATCTGGCCCACATTCATCACAGTGTTCATCATGGAGTTGATAGAGGACAGCTCCTCCTCTGTTCTAACTCCACCTTCATCATCATCTCCATGTTCTGGTTTGTCCGTTCCATCACAGTCTGCTTCTATAAATCAGATAAGAGTGAGTAAATAATGACAGAATCTTTATTTTTTGGATATATTGTCTCTCTTAGAGCCACTGTGGCATCTTACCTTCAACTGGTTCTGGTATATGTGTGGAGGACTGATTGTTCATAGCCTCTTCTGACAAATGAGACTGTTCATTCACATCAGCAGCCCCAACAGCACTGCTGACAGTCTTCTCAGGGGAGGCACTTTCCATTTCTAAGAACAGAGAATATCTGTTACTCACACAGAACTCAATATGACATAAATTTTAAAAGATACACCCATTAATAAATTACTTTTCTCATATGCAAAGGAGGCCATGTGGAAATCATCTTATCATTGCCTAAATGGTTACAGTTAATCTCTGCAGGAGCTGTAGTGCGTTTTACAGGAGCAACTTTATCAGTCAACTTCCTCTTTTAGCACATGTGCTTCTTAATAGTTTTCTTACATTCAAATAGACAAAACGAATAAAAACAACAACAACTCTATATTATGAATAATTTAAAAGGACTATGCTAAGACTGCAAAAGGCCCTGATATTAAAGCAAATTTTTATTTAGGTTTGTAAATGCATGATGGAAATAAGTCTCTTTCAATGGCTGACCAAAAAGACTAAAAGAAAGTTTTTGAGAAGGCTCTGTTGAGATTTGGATGTGATTTGGATGTGACATTTTTATATGTATGTATACTACTCTTCGAAAGTTTGTGGTCGATAAGATTTTTTGTTTTTGAAAGAAGTTTCATGAAGGCTGGATTAATTTGATAAAAAATACAGTAAAAACAGTAATATTACAATTTGAAATAACCCTTTTCTATTTTAATATATTTTTAAAGTGTAATTTAATCCTGAGATGGCAAAGCTGAATTTGACTCCAGTCTTCAGTGTCACATGATCCTTCAGAAATAATTATATTATGCTAATTTCCTGCTCAAGAAACATTTCTTATTATTACCAATATTACCAGTATAATATTGAAACCATAATACTTTAAGGATCCTTTTATTAATGAAAAGTTCAAAAGAACAGTATTCAGTGCAAAGCTGAATTTGACTCCAGTCTTCAGTGTCACATGATCCTTCAGAAATAATTATATTATGCTAATTTCCTGCTCAAGAAACATTTCTTATTATTACCAATATTACCAGTATAATATTGAAACCATAATACTTTAAGGATCCTTTTATTAATGAAAAGTTCAAAAGAACAGTATTCAGTTCAAACAGAAATCTTTTGTAACATTATAAATGCCTTTACTTTCACTTTTGATAAATTAATGCATCCAATTAATGCAAATAATGACACCAAACATTTAAATAGCAGTGTACATATTGGATTTAAAAAGCGACATTCTTCCCACAAACATCTCAATTTGAACTGAGCTCTATGTATTGTGCTGTCTAAAAGTCAAGATAGGAAAAGAACTGGCTGTGGACTGTTTGAGGCAGCTGTGGGAGTGTGATACTTCAGCGAGAGAGGCCCATCCCAGTGAGGGGGGTGGTGCAGGGTGAGGAGACGACGGAGAGAAAGATGAACGACACATACGTGAGAGCGAAGGAGGAAAACACAGAGAGAAAAGTGCAATGTGAGAAAAGTGTAGAGCGAGGACTGGAAAAGAGAGTCGAGAGACTGGGTGCATGTTCACATGGGAGAAACATAGAAATGTCTTTCTGCTGTGAAGAGAAGAACAGTAGGGGGTTGGGTTGAGAGGCAAAGCAGGAAGTGGCTGTGAGAGCAGTGGAGGGTAGACGGTTCTCTGCTGTACTCTCTCTTGCTCTAAGCATGTGGCCCTGTAGCAGGGTGTGATCGCCTCTGCTGGAGGGGGAGGGTAGGAAATCCCCCTCCCAGCTCCCACCATCCCAAACTCTGCTCATGTACTTCAACTGGTTGGAAAAGTGAGGACGGAGGAGTCTGATTATCCTCCAATTCTATAAGGATTCAGCTTTGAGGAAACGAGATGCACATATTCTGCAGTGTAATGCACCTTTTACACTGACGAGATTTTACACCTCAGTTCACCAGGTTGCTAGTAAGCATTGCTATGCAACATATCAAAATTAAAATGAACGATTAACTCATGTCGAATTACTTCAAATTCTGACCACAACTCAAATAGATCAGTGAAATCTCTATAGTTTTGCTTCTCATTTGCATTAAGCTAGACCTTTCTCAACTCAGAACACGTCCAAATTGCATCACCAATGGCCGCTGTTGCTTATGTCGATAGAAACCATCCACTTTCACTGAAAACAAATGACATCTGGTCAATGTGTTGCTGCAGATCGCTATCATTACCAGGCCCTCAAAGCCTGATACCGAAAAAGTTTCACTTAAAGCCAATGATGTGCATCTTTGTGCTAATTTATTTATTTAAAAATGCACTGAGATCATTTCAATGCTTGTGTGCTGAATTAATGCATTCATTTCTTTCAAAAGAAAAAAAACTGATTCATTAGCTGCGTTTCCGTTACCCTTCAAATTGCGCAGATTGAAATTGCAAATTGAAAATACACCTAATGGAAACACAACAATTTCGCAAAAACTCCTACATATTGCAAAAAAAGTTTTTACGCATGCATGAGGTGGTTTTTCAGGCAATTTGAAAAAGGAATATAATCGCAAAGCTGCAATGGAAACGTTTTTTTCCCCCGCATTTACAGGTCACCTGGCATACGTAAAAATCGCACGATCATTCTTTAATTTACTATAACCTCCAAGAAACACACCATATGTGGCCACTCTCAAGTATAAGGGGCTTTCCTTGCCATTAATGCTTGGATAGATAACCCCTTATTTACACTGCACATGTCTGCGGCGCATTATGGCTCCAACACAGCCAACAGAGCTGATCGCGGCAACTCTTGTCAATGCTTGTGATTATACCAGCTGCGCCGCGGTACGTAACCATCGCAGAAGTGGCTCTCCGCTCTGCTTTGCTAAAGATACACGCAGACATCTCCTTCAATTAAAAATAATGGCTAGTGCGGTGGCTACGATATACGTAAACCTACCAACATCTGTCACCATGACTTATCGCAAGAGGAAAAAATTACGTTTTAGTCGCATAACATTGGTTAATGGAAATGCCACCATTTTGCGATAGATTTATCGATATTTATATAAAATATTGCAAAAGTTTTGAGCAAATCTGTAATGGAAACGCACCTATTGAGTATTTTTAAGAAGAATACGAATAAAAAGGATAAATGATCATTTAGTGAGTGAAGTGACATGTGGCCAATTATGGTGACCCATACTCGGAATTAGTGCTCTGCATTTAACCCATCCAAAGTGCACACACACAGCAGTGAACACACACACACACAC